TTCTTTCTTCTTCTTCTTCTTCTTCTTCTTCTTCTCTCTTCTTCTTCTTCTTCTTCTTCTTCTTCTCTTCTTCTTTCTTCTTCTTCTTCTTCTTCTTCTTCTTCTTCTTCTTCTTCTTCTTCTTCTTCTTCTTCTTCTTCTTCTTCTTCTTCTTCTTCTTCTTCTTCTTCTTCTTCTTCTTCTTCTTCTTCTTCTTCTTCTTCTTTCTTCTTCTTCTTCTTCTTCTTCTTCTTCTTCCTTCTTCTTCTCTTCTTCTTCTTCTTCTTCTTCTTCTTCTTCTTCTTCTTCTTCTTCTTCTTCTTCTTCTTCTTCTTCTTCTTCTTCTTCTTCTTCTTCTTCTTCTTCTTCTTCTTCTTCTTCTTCTTCTTCTTCTTCTTCTTCTTCTTCTTCTTCTTCTTCTTCTTCTTCTTCTTCTTCTTCTTCTTCTTCTTCTTCAGCATTCCTAAACCTTGAGGTTTATTGCTGAGTATATCACCCGCCTCCACTCATCTCTGGTTGGCTTTCTCTTTTCAGTTGGTGACACCAAGTGTTTGCAGGTCTCACTGGGCATTATCTCTCCATCGTCTTCTTGGTCTGCCTCGTGGTCTACGACCATTCATATCACTTGTGTATACGTTTTTACCTCTCTGTCATCGGACATTCTATCAACATTCACCAGCCATTTCAGCCTATTTGCTCTTAATATGCCGTTTGGTCTATAAAATATAGTTCCAGCCTTCTAGACCCAATACGCCTGAAGGCGTAGAAAAGGATCCCTTTCTTTTCTTTTGACACCTCTGCTTCGTATCACTCCATTCACGTCTCATCGCTTTAGAAGTTGTGCTCCTAGTATTGATCACATTTCACAAGCTATTGTATATGATATATTTTCACAATTCATAGATGTCGCCTTCAACTGACGGATTCAATACCTGTTCCCCTCCGACGCTTCTCCCCAACGAGCAACATACGGTACACCTGACAAACCTGTGTGGGATGAGGTTACATAAATGTCGTTTGTTAGGCATTACATGGCCACTGTTACTTCCGGGTGTTTTACATTGTCGTAGTTTATAGGCTTTTCGAAAACAGAGGTGAAATAATTTGTGAATTTTGATTGAGTTCGGTTTGTTTTTTCTGTGTTACAAAAGGATTTAGGAAACGAAGAGATTTAAAAAAAAAAAATATCAGTTATGCATTTTGTCTTTTGAATATGCACTATTTTTAAATATTTTTTTCTCATCTAATATTCTGTTAAGTTTACTGAAGCATCGTTAACAATAATTACCATTTTAACACGCTGTGTTTACTCGTAATAGGGCGGTTGACACGTTTTATGATTTACAGGTAGGCTGCGACATGTGTGCCTTTTGGTTCTACACGTCCTAGTTTAGCACACCCTTTGTTAGTCTCAATTTACGACTTTCTAGTTGCGGTTGGGACTAGGGGGAGGGGGATCTTTCCTGCATCATTATTGTCTTCTTCTTCTTCTTCTTCTTCTCCTCCTCCTTCTTCTCCTTCTCCTTCTTCCTCTTCTTCTTCTTCTTCTTCTTCTTCTTCTTCTTCTTCTTCTTCTTCTTCTTCTTCTTCTTCTTCTTCTTCTTCTTCTTCTTCTTCTTCTTCTTCTTCTTCTTCTTCTTCTTCTTCTTCTTCTTCTTCTTCTTCTTCTTCTTCTTCTCCTTCTTTTTCTTTTTCTTCTTCTTCTTCTTCTTCTTCTTCTTCTTCTTCTTCTTCTTCTTCTTCTTCTTCTTCTTCTTCTTCTTCTTCTTCTTCTTCTTCTTCTTCTTCTTCTTCTTCTCTCTTCTTCTTCTTCTTCTTTCTTCTTCTTCTTCTTCTTCTTCTTCTTCTTCTTCTTCTTCTTCTTCTTCTTCTTCTTCTTCTTCTTTTTCTTCTTCTTCTTCTTCTTCTTCTTCTTTTTCTTCTTCTTCTTCTCCTTCTTCTTTTTCTTTTTCTTTTTCTTTTTCTTTTTCTTTTTCTTCTTTTTCTTTCTCTTCCTTACTCTCCTGCTCCTCCCTCCTTCATTGTTAACGTTGTTTTCTCGTGACTATTACAGTCTACATGATGTTAAACAGCTTTTTTTTTTTTTAACTTGAGACATGATACTTTCACTTCAAATATTCAATAGTTGCTCATCACAGCCTGCCTAAAATCTAGTTGGTCTCTGGCCAGATCTTCCGCCTCCTGCGCTATCCTGCTCAAGGTGTCACTTAAATCCAATCCTGTGCTTATCTTTGTGCTGGTCGACGTCTGCTCCTTGTTCCTGGCACCACACCTTCTGCTTCTAACCTTTCCAGTTCGCCGTGGTGCTTTATATTGCCAAAATATTTCAGATTCCCAGACACAATTCTGTTTACCAGCCAATCTTTCTTTTTGTTAACAGCTCTGATTGTGTAAGTATTTCTTTTCCTTTTGGTCCATAGTATTCCGAGAATAGTTTTACAGTATTTCATCTCAAAACCCCCCTTTTCTTCATAAGAGCTAGAAGATATTCCACAAGTCACATTCGTATTCCAATACTTCTCCTTGACTTTCAGTTATAGTTTTTAACAAGCCCAGTGTTAGACTAAGTCGACCTGAGAGTAAGGGCCAATTTATAGAAACAACTCAACCTTAGTGGCAGTATCTAGCCACTACACTGTAGCAGCTACCTGTCATGACTACTGTCTGTGAGAAAAACAGTTACTGTTAGTAAGTTTGTTGCGTATCCTTTACAGGACGTTGCAGAAAACACCCTAGCATTTTCTTTTAGCTGTTTTGGTTTTTTAAAGGCAAATTTACGTCCAGTAATTTGCCATTGCTTTCTTGACGGTTGACTTCTCGATATCAGTGTCGAAACCAACGTAAAGCGCATGGCCTGCAGCTGGAATCGAACCTGGCACCCCGCATTTCGAAGCTCGTTCTCAACTCCTAAGCCAAAGACGCCGACAGTGACAGTACCTTTGTTATTTGCACATTTGTTGTTATTTGGAAGAATTATGTGGATTCTGCCTCACAAAATCTTCTTCTTCCTCTTCTGCTCTTCACCTCCTCATGAGACTTAACCTTTGGCCAAGTCCCATTGTCTTTTAAAATCTGTATCATGCCGAACTTTTCTCATTTCATTTCATATTCTCTTCCCATGTATGTTATGCTCTGCATTAGGTCTTTCCGAAATACTATACGTTTAACGCGTTCCCAATTTGCCTCTACTAAATTAATATTAGGTTATCAGTTTTCAGAAGTATTCTGAGTCGATGCTGCCAAAGAACGTTTTACATAGCCCTGAATGTTATAGAAACTGGAGAGCTCGTTTCAATGCGTTGTTCGTTAATTTTGCTTCTTCTGCTATCTGGATTAATAACACAGCATCTCCAGTCGCCCCCCCCCCCTCCCCTCCTTTCCAGCAACAACAACAGCAATAAAAAAAATTTGATGTAGACATGTTCACCTGATTTTGCATTAATACAGCCTATTAAATTGCTAAATTGAAATATCCTATTTAATGTTTTAAAGCAGCTCTAGTCTTCGCAATACATGCATTTTAAATATTATTATTAAGTTTTTCTGTATAAGGTTCTAAAAAAAATGTTTCTATCTTTTCAAGAGCCTGGCTGTAATAATATTAATTTAATGCACGAATGTCTTATCTCAAAAACTAGATCTGATACGGAAAACAAATCTAAATACGTTTTGGAATCAGCAGCACAACGTTGCCAAAGAACGGCTATACGATTAAACGCACCAGAATTTGTGTAGACCAATGCAACTTATGAGAGACGCAAGAGATATTTGTAAAGATACACCTAAGTAATATATCCAAAATATAAAATAATAATGATACAAGTTTCATCAGCATTATCATTCTGTAACACTACGTGTCGCTGGGTAATCAGTTTCTGATGATTGTCTGATCAGCTCTCTTCCCTTTTGGCGGTCAGTTGCAATGGACTTCATGGTTGCATGCCTGAGGCCTGTCCAGTCAGTCAGGTTTTGTAACCAGGTCTTACTTGGTCTGCTTCTTCTCCTCTTTCCATTTACCGAGCCCTGCAGTATTTTTTTTTTTTGTTTTTTTGTTGGAGGCCGTTAGATCTTAATATATGTCCAATCCACTGCATTGTGTAAAAGTTTACACACACACACACACACACACACACACACACGCACACACAAGTAATAATCAGTTAGCGTCTTAGACATATCGGGTAAGGTAAGGTCAGACCAAAATTCTTATAGACCAACAACTTAAAAAGATAGTTGCTTATCCTTTGTTTGTTTGTTTGTTTTAGTATCCAGAAGCCATGAGTTGTTAACCTTTAGGCTCGGTATTATGGATATCGCAACCTTTCGGCCTTGATTCCATTGTAAATACCGTAAATCTGGAAGAAATGTGGCTTTTCTGCCTAACCCCGGGAGTGAACCCTGACCACAAGGAGTTCGTCACCTGGGCACCGCGCAATCCGGTTTAGCCAACTACGCTAGAGGACTGGGATTGCGTATCCTTTACAAGACGTTGCATAACCAACCCCAGCATTTTCTGGCTGTTGTGGTTTATCTATTTAACGTTCAGTAGTTTGCCACTGATAAACTAAACGGTCAGCGTTCGATACAACTGTCGAAACCAACTCAAGACAAACCGTCCGCAGCGGGGATCGAGCCCGGCACCCCGGCGTTATGAAGCACCTTTGCAACGCCTAAGGAACCGACGCCGATAGAGTTTGTGGTAAAATGAAGCTGACCGGCTTTACTTTCCAGTGCATTACCTAGAACCTATGTCATTCCGGCTGCACTGAGATATTGTGATTTAGGGTATTACATCTTCAGGAAGCAGTCTGGAGTGGACAAACGTCACACATGCCAACATTCTTTGGACATTGTTATAATGCTTTTATTTTACCTTCTACATCTCTAATAGAAATCTGCCTGATGGACATATTACATTTAGATTCTTTCCTGATTTAAATGTATAAGACAATATTTTTTGGGAATAGAGACTGTTTCTATTATAGATAAGAAATGTGAATTAAATAAATAATAAGATAACGATGAAGATTAATCGTATTACCCGATGGATTCTACCTGTCATCAGTATTATCTTACAGACATCGATAAGTACTTCGACAGTGGCACTGCCAAAGATGTCAGACTTTGGGATGAGTGATGAGGATGTTTGTGCGTTTCCAATTGAAGAATCACCAGAAGTCAATGCTACTGAGAAACATACTGTCAAAATTGCAGTCATCGTTCCATATAACAGCTCTTTTCAGTTTAGTGCCCAAGGAATAGTTCCAAGTATCTGTCAGGCTAAAAAATATCTGGCGTCAAAGAAGATCATGTCATCATTTCAGCTGCAATTCTACTTTGGTGATTCTAAATGCAGCGACAAGGAAGGACCAATTTTAGCGTTTGAATTCTACAGACAAGTTGGTGTCAATTGCTTCATGGGCCCCGTTTGTGATTATAGTTTAGCTCCAGTTTCTAGGTATGCCCCCTACTGGGGCATCCCTGTGATTTCCCCTGGGGGTCTCAGTCATAGTTTTGGGGAATCCAAACTTGTGGATTACGCTTCTCTCACTAGAGTTGGCGCCACTTTTGATTCCTTGACCTTGGGATTAATCGCGTTTATGAAACAATTCGGTTGGCGCAAGGTGAACGTTATTTACAACAGCCAGGCTAAAGGTCACCAAATATCCGGATTTTGTTTTCTGATGGCGAGCGCCATGATTCACATGTCCAAAAGGGCCATGTTTACAGGAAAGTTTGTCATCTTTATGGAGGGCAGGGATAAACCAGAGAATGTGCTTATAAACGAGATTGGAACGGAAATCAGCGGTAAGTCTTATGATGCATTTTTTGTGTTTTTTCATTTGCGTCTACATGTCATGTATCATAATGTACAGGGAAGAGGAAGTGGGGGGGGGGGGCGTTGGTGAGTTTGGTTTGCCATCTGACACAATCTTCAGAATCACGGTTCAGGTGTTAGTTAATCGACTTATCATGCTCATCGACCTCGAACAAATCCATCAGTACTCGGACCCCATCTCCAGTATCTTCCTGAACACAAGACGACTGATAAAACCAGTTCTGTGTTGCTTTACCATTATTCTTTGGCTACTTGCATAGCGTTATTGTATGGCAACAAAATCTGTTTTGGCTTGAGGTGCTTGTAGTCATGTCAAATTCGCCGATTCACTGACGTCTCCTGATCATCTACTCGTCCTATCTCCTTGAGGGCATTGAGAACATTACCTCGGATCGTTGCTTTACCTGGGCCTTCCGTGACCCTTTCAGCAAGCGAATCTGCTCGTTCATTCCCTCTTACCCCAGAGCTGACTGCCTCATTAGGGAAAGAAAATTGAACTTATTGCTTTCAGACAATATTTCATCAGAGACTGCAACCATTGTCTTCAAGCAAATTCTCTCTCGATCTTCTTAAGTATGTTCAAAAAATTAGTTAAGAAGTTTTTTTTTTAAACATTCTTTTAATTAACATGTCGAGAAGTCAAACCATCTCCTATTTATCTCTTTGACCTTTGACTTAATCTTACACCCCCTCCTACCTTCCCTCCACCCAATAATATGCAAAGTAGTATGACCTTGTATAAGAAAAAAAGGAAAAAAAAAAAAACAGTGTTTGCAATCTGGACCGTCTGCAAAGAAAAACTTTAAGGATTCCTTGATTTGAATTTGTTATCCCTTTTTGTTAATTTTCGCAATTACTTTATAAATCACACGCTCGCCGCCATCACCTATTTCAGATTGTCCATGCTTTACATGCGTAGAACAGTACGTAAAGTAGGTAAAGAACATTTGGGCAAATGATGCTAGATCAAATTATTATAGACAAATGGGTATTTGGTGGTTGGTACAGATAACATCAAAAATGTCGTCTCTTCTCACCCCCATCCCCACCATCGTCCCTCCACACACCTCCCCCTCCCCAATGTCATCGCTTGGCAACTAATAAGGTTGGATTAACACCGGGACAGAACAATTTGAATTAAAACAGTCTTCGCGCAGACAGGCGAGTGTCTGACCACTACTCTACCGCGGCTCCATCACCGAACACATACATGTTCTACAGGTTGTTCGTAAAGTCTTAGTACACTTTCTGTGTAGAACAAATGTATTAGAAATAAAGTATATGACGTCATCAAAACATGTCCTTCACCTTTAATCGCTAGGAATTGATGGCGTCTGCTGGAGTAATTCTTTGCACTCTAAAACAGAATGGTGTTATCAGCGAAAACCTGAAGAATTACGATTTAAGAAATAATAACCGAGATGTTCCTGAAGGTATCAAACAATATGTTGAGACGTGTACAGTTATGTCTTGAAGCATGTGGTTGACCTTACCAAGAAGTGTTATAATGAATATTTCAATGGTTACGTCTAGCTTCCTAAAACAACTTTTTACGATAACAGTGACTATTGAAACCAGTTTAATGACTCTTTAAAGCACATGTTTTGATGACGTCACGTACTTGCGTTCATCTATGCATACAAAGTATAATGAGACTTTTAACCATCACTAACTTTGACTATGTACAGCATTTTAACTCTTTTGTGTTTCTTGTAATTGCAGATATCGGTAGGTGGACTAGTCTAGCTTCATTTTCCCGAAGCGCAACTCTCATAAAAATGGACTTTCACTTTTTTTACTGACACTTGAGTCTGTGAAGTGCTATCGCCTGCCAATTTGTTCTAGAAGTACTCTCGTCTGATGTTTTTTTCCCAATCCAGAATTCTGGTATATTAATTTTAAAGTGTTTTAGGGCGTCCTTCAATGAATATCAGTCGCGATCGATATGGTCTCTCTCTCCCCCCCCCCTCTCTCTCTCTCTCTCTCTCTCTCTCTCTCTATCTATCTATCTATCTATCTATCTATCTATCTATCTATCTATCTATCTATCTATCTATCTATCTATCTATCTATCTATCTATCTATCTATCTATCTATCTATCTATCTATCTATCTATCTATCTATCTATCTATCTATCTATCTATCTATCTGTCTGTCTGTCTGTCTGTCTGTCTGTCTGTCTGTCTGTCTGTCTGTCTGTCTGTCTGTCTGTCTGTCTGTCTGTCTGTCTGTCTGTCTGTCTGTCTGTCTGTCTGTCTGTCTGTCTGTCTGTCTGTCTGTCTGTCTGTCTGTCTGTCTGTCTATCTGTCTATCTGTCTATCTGTCTATCTATCTATCTATCTATCTATCTATCTATCTATCTATCTATCTATCTATCTATCTATCTATCTATCTATCTATCTATCTATCTATCTATCTATCTATCTATCTATCTATCTATCTATCTATCTATCTATCTATCTATCTATCTATCTATCTATCTATCTATCTATCTATCTATCTATCTATCTATCTAATCTTCTATCTATCTAATCTTCTATCTATCTAATCTATCTATCTATCTATCTATCTATCTATCTATCTATCTATCTATCTATCTATCTATCTATCTATCTATCTATCTATCTATCTATCTATCTATCTATCTATCTATCTATCTATCTATCTATCTATCTATCTATCTATCTATCTATCTATCTATCTATCTATCTATCTATCTATCTATCTATCTATCTATCTATCTATCTATCTATCTATCTATCTATCTATCTATCTATCTATCTATCTATCTATCTATCTATCTATCTATCTATCTATCTATCTATCTATCTATCTATCTATCTATCTATCTATCTATCTATCTATCTATCTATCTATCTATCTATCTACTCTATCTATCTATCTATCTATCTATCTATCTATCTATCTATCTATCTATCTATCTATCTATCTATCTATCTATCTATCTATCTATCTATCTATCTATCTATCTATCTATCTATCTATCTGTCTGTCTGTCTGTCTGTCTGTCTGTCTGTCTGTCTGTCTGTCTGTCTGTCTGTCTGTCTGTCTGTCTGTCTGTCTGTCTGTCTGTCTGTCTGTCTGTCTGTCTGTCTGTCTGTCTGTCTGTCTGTCTGTCTGTCTGTCTGTCTGTCTGTCTGTCTGTCTGTCTGTCTGTCTGTCTGTCTGTCTGTCTGTCTGTCTGTCTGTCTGTCTGTCTGTCTGTCTGTCTGTCTGTCTGTCTGTCTGTCTGTCTGTCTGTCTGTCTGTCTGTCTGTCTGTCTGTCTGTCTGTCTGTCTGTCTGTCTGTCTGTCTGTCTGTCTGTCTGTCTGTCTGTCTGTCTGTCTGTCTGTCTGTCTGTCTGTCTGTCTGTCTGTCTGTCTGTCTGTCTGTCTGTCTGTCTGTCTGTCTGTCTGTCTGTCTGTCTGTCTGTCTGTCTGTCTGTCTGTCTGTCTGTCTGTCTGTCTGTCTGTCTGTCTGTCTGTCTGTCTGTCTGTCTGTCTGTCTGTCTGTCTGTCTGTCTGTCTGTCTGTCTGTCTGTCTGTCTGTCTGTCTGTCTGTCTGTCTGTCTGTCTGTCTGTCTGTCTGTCTCTTGTTCTTTCTTTCTTTCTCTCGCCCCCTCCCCTCACACCCGTTTTTTTTTTCTTTTCCTTTTGTATGTATCTATCTATCGACACTTGACTGTGAAATAGAAACAAGAAGGTTCCAATCCGAACAAAGACAGACTGTTGACCACATTGACCTTAGCTCCCAGGTCGGCCCAGCTTTGTACCAGGTAGAGAACAAAAATTGGGCAAAAGGCGTCCTACGTAATATTGAATAATCCCATACCGAAGAATCGAAGAATCGACTATCTATAGAAAATATATGTTACTAACACTGTACGACTAGTACGTTTGAAGGCGTCAAAGGGGTCTTTTTGTATGTATTATCACCACATCGCATCAGATATGCCAGCTAAAAAGGTGCCTGCTGTTCAATACAACATTACAGCCATATACTTGAATCGTGTTTACGTATATTCAGCCATAGTGATTTATCTCATTAGCAAGATCAGTATTGTATGGTACCTGTGCCGTGAATACATGAACGCAGTGCAGAGACTTGCTGAGAAATGCAAGCTGTTTTCGTGACTTCGAATTGAATTGATTTATGGATCTGTTGCTGTGGCTAAGACATTGCAAACGCAATTGTTAATTTCGAAAACACGGTTTGATTCTAGCCACAAAAGATTTAGCAACAGACTGGGTTGCGTTAATTTTGACAACTGAATCTCTGTTTTTAAAAAAAGTACTCGCACTGCTGAACGACAACGTCCGCGAGATGAACCCACGACCTCCGGAGCACGAGGCGAACGACATTAACAACCACTAAAGTAATGGCAGAACATCAGGGAGGAAGGCGAGGGGAACACCAAGAAAGAAATAGATAAATGGATGAACAATCCATCATCCAAGCCACCTAAGAAGTGCAAGAAAAATACAGAATATCATGACACTGTGCTACAACCTGTCATCGGTGAGACGACAAAAGGAGCAGAAGATGCAGAAAGTAATGGAAGGAGATTCTAAACCAGCTGTACAAACTGGCGCTTTCAATTGGGCTTTTACTGGCTGACTCTGTAAGAGGTTTACCTTTCTTTAAACACTATCACTCAGAGCCCTGACAGTCTATTTCACATAACACAGATTACTCAGTCCCTTTTTATTCTAAATCACGACCCGGTCTACCGTAGGCCTGACGTTTGCTTGCAGCTATTGACAACTGAAAATTGGACCGGCGGTATTCCCATTCATCAAAGTTCAAATTTCCCCCATGATTTAACTTCGATAACTACTCGCTACGCATGCGCACTTGACTGCAGATTGGAAAGAAAATGGCGGCCACTTCCTCCTGACAGCAAAATCCTTTTACGAAATAAAAGCAGTTGACACACCAGATATTTTAAAGTGAAATTTTAAATGACAAATGTTAATTGTATTTAAATGATCCGTGACAAAAGAAAACACGGGTGAATACAAGTAATTCAATATTACAAACACAAACAAATAGTTTCCAAAACCAGTTT